TTGCAATCCACCGTTCATCGTTTCCTCTTTCCACCCTTGTCATCTCTCTTTATCTTTCTCCCTTCCTTCGAGCTTCCCCCTCTCCGTGCGACATGTAGGCAGTTCTTCACCCCGGGTTTTTTTCGTGAGGAGGGATCGAAACTGACCGGACACATAAGTCGCTGGTCGTTAGTCGTCGACGATAGCTCGTTGTCGATGTGGTAGCGGATGTGATGGTAAGATAGATAGAGAAGGTTGGTTTACGAGAGAGGATTGTGGAAGGGATAGACGACAGGAGGTATAGACTGTATGGGAATGGAAAATAACGAGAAAGAGAAAGACGAAAGCAAAGAGCGAGGCAGAGATATAAAATGAAAAAGAGAGAAGGGAGAGGGGGAGGAGGGAAAGAAAAGAGAGAGGGAGCAGAGAGAGAGAGAGAGAGAGAGAGAGAGAGAGAGAGAGAGAGAGAGAGAGAGAGAGAGAGAGAGAGAGAGAGAGAGAGAGAGAGAGAATGAGTGAGTGAGTGAGTGAGTGAGTAAACGTCATGGCAGGAGAACTAAGACAATCAATAAGATTGCCAGGTCCGAAGGAACTCAAGTCCTGATTCGTCGAATAAGTTTGGTACACTTCTTGCCAGGCCACGACGAGACTCACCGTTCCAGAGTTATCAGATCCTATCCTCACATGCGAAACATCAAATTTAGAGTCTTTCATAAGAAGAGACCAAAAGTCAACGATGAAGGGCACCGAGATTAAATGAGAAGCGTTCCTGTGGGCAAGAGCCCGCTTTTCTCTCGAGAGGGTCGATATCAGAATCTAATCACCGGATAGGCAATCGGATAGATCAGGATAGGAACGGGATAGGCCAGAGGATGCCCATGGATGTCAAGTCACGTGAATAAAAGGGGTTGCCGGAGCGAAGGGATGGCGATGAAAAGGGTGCATATACGCTGAGAGGGGAGGTGGAGGCCGCACGATCGCCGCTCTGGCGGATATTGCCAGAACTACGAATTACCCCGTGTCGCCGGGGGTACTTTCCCGTCGGGATGCATTTCTTTGAAAGCACGAATGAAGCGTTACGATGTCGGTGTTCTGGACGACAACGCGAGAGATTCCGGGGATGAAATTTTGCGTCGATAAGGAAGAACCATATTTGGGGTAGTGACAAGAAAAATACAGAATATTTCAAAGCTCGCCCGTTATATTGTACTATAGATCATGATTCTGTTGATTTTACTGTATTTTTTTATTCAAAATATTAACAAATATATGTTATCTGTGTAAAACTTTATTTTGAACAAAAATAAAAAATATATATCTCATTTTATATTGTTGTTATACTTATTATTCCTAAAAATGAATAAAAAATATAATAACAATTAGATAAATTTTTTTCTTTAATCTACTTTTTATTCTAATTTTCTTTAATGATATATAATATTCATTCATAAAATAATGAATCTTCCACAGTCAAAATTACAAATTTAAAATAAATATTTAATAATTAGTCTTTTAGAACTATTTAGTTCTTAAATTAGTTATTTAGTTATATTAATATGTGTTGTGTTTTTATAAAATAAAGTTAAACTTTTTTATATATTTTTAATTAGAAGTTTGGTCATTTTTATACAGTGTATATTCTGCAATTTTTGTTTATAAACAAAGTAATTACTATTCATAAATAGAAATACTTTGTTAATTTTTAATATTTTTTCGCAAAAATTTTAATCATTCATTTTTGATCATTTCATTTAGATGAACAACTCAGAAAAAAGTGCTGTGAACTACGAAGAGTTAAAGTCTGCGCACGATCGGAAAACCATAGATTCTAAGAGAAACTTTCTCGGCCTATGTGGCACTAACAATAAATAACAAGGTCGGCAATAAATAAGGTACACGATAGAGAAGGTCTCGTACGTCACAAAAGCTGGAGTCACGATACAGAAAACGCCTAGCTAAGCACATTCATCAAACTTTTACAAGAATATCAGGAACATCAAAGAATAATTCGCATATTGATTTTCAGAGATCGAGAGAGAGAGGAAGAGAGAAGAGGTAAATATAAAGTTATTAAATACTCAGATAAATAGTTCCAATAATATTTGTCATTACAATTATCTATATATCTATTTTCAGATCTCTTTCTAGACTTAATAGTAATAATAGTTCAAGCTTATAAAACTTTTAATCAGTTAGCAAGAAAAAAGTGCTATTATTTCGACAACGTTCATATTTTTTTAATCTAATACAATGATCGAATTTTCACCAGATAAATATTTCTATAAAACGCCAAACGTGATTTGTATTGGAAGTTAAAATGAAACGTTTGCCTACATTTTCAATTAAAATTTCGATCAAACTTTGTATTAACTGCATTAAACATAAAGTTGCAATACGCGGTCGATTTCCTTTTTTTCCCCTCCTGCACAACCATGGCTAACTGCTTTGGCGAGTTGTCGTCGAGTTTTGTTACGTCGTTAGAACTTGGCTCTCATAAAAACTGTCATCCCGAAATTTGCGCGACGACGTTTTAGTGCTAGGATCCGCGTCTTGTACTTTCCGCACGTCAAACAGTAATTACTTTCCGCAGGCTTCTCTTTTCTTTTTTTTTCTTTCTCTTTCTTTTCGCAGCACACACAACTCGTTCTTTCTATTTATATTTCGGAATCGGATTCACGCACGAGTGCCCATTATAGGGAAAAAAAAAACGTTGTCCGAAGAATAAAGGAATCTGCAGTCGCTTAGCAGCTATGCCACGCGAGTCGAAATGCATGTGCATCTTCGCCTATGTGTACACAGTCAATTCTGGAAATGAATCGAAATCTCTTTCCGCGGCAGAATAGACGAATGTGGGTGGATACACAAAGCCAGGCAAAGTCTTCGAGATGCAAGAGCAGGAAACATGACGAAATCGCACACAGCGGGAAAATTTGTTTTCCAGAAAAAATAATGGCAACCTTAATGGAAATCCCACGTCGGAAAGTTTTGCGATTGTACTTGTGCGTTACTTCCGGTATACTCCGTGCAGAAGCAGCACAAGTTGCGTCAATATGCGATATCTATCCCGAAAGGATAAAAGTTAAATGATAAAATTAATAATTAAGTTATATAATGAAGTTGCGTAACTTTTGCATTTCCGCTGCAAAATTATTTAAAAGTTTTTCATGAAATTGTATCAAGATCACGAAAATCTTGTAACTAGATAAGATGCATTTTTATTACTCCATATAGAAGTTGAGGCCACATTGTATATTCGCCATTGCCATGCCTTCCACGTAGTCTTTTCGTAATGCGGATCAATAATTTCCACCTTAGAGAAGATCACAATTCATGAAAAACGTGTATAACGACGATAAGTAGGACGATTTAAGGAGGAGGAGCTTTAAAGCCCTCCTTCATGGAAGGGTCCTCAGCGCATATCGATCATTTTCTGTTTTCGCAATCTCTCAGAAAAGGAAAGGAGTAATCCCGCTCGATGAATTGTGGATATTTGCTCCTGGCATTCGGTTTTCAACTACATTCTGTTTTTATTCCCGAGCTATCGATGCATGACGGGGTATCGCGCAAAAAATATCGTATCGAGATCGCGTATTATCAAGGATCAACGTGTAACAGTTGTACGCGGACCACTATTTCCCGATGTACAATGGCTAACTAAATTCAACTTTTGCAACTGCATGAAACAATTTAGCAAGGTATAAAAAGTGCGGTGATTCAGTTACGTAGAAAAATGACGTTACAACGTTGCGTCGCAACATCAATTGCACATATGAGTTTTGCACATGTACATACACGCACGCGCACGTACACACATACAGATTCAAAATACAAATCAATTTTCCATTGAAATATTTGAAAATTAAAGCGCCAGATTCAGTAATATAGATGATCAAAGATATAAAAGCTCCACGAAATTCGATGATTCGAATATTTATTTACACACAATTTAAATAATTAAAGATATCAAAATTCGAAAATATTGTACAGAGATTTCATTTAATCCATGTTAATGGAAAAGATTTTGTGATTCAAAAAAGATATTGAAATATTTGGTGATCCGTGATTCGATTGATACCCACCTACATTTCCGCTTTATCCTCAAATCCCTTTCCGCAAGTCCAATTTGACTTACGAATTTTTTAGCTAGTCTTATTCTTATCTCGTTCAATTATCCGTATGTTAATAGCTCTGAGGTATTACTGCTCTTTAATTCCGATTCGCACGAGGAAGGCACAAAATGTAAAAGTGTAAAAGTTGTAGGACCGATAGTTTATCGTTCCCTCATACAGTCACTCGCTGCTAATCGCTAATGGTTTACGGGTGCCAAAGTCAGTTCTGTGCGAAACTCGAGTGCAGTTTGTGTGCAGTTTCCGTTTCCATCCGTGATGAGTGGAAACTTTGGTCAGGCTTCTCTCCGTTCCGGTGCCACCGGTTCTCGTGCGTTCTGCTGTAACCGTTCGCTTTAAAACGTCGGGGAGGTTTGTTTTAAACTTCATTGCGATTTTCTTCGAGTCTCAGCGCGCGGGACTAATTCTTCGCCCGCTTCTCCGTTTAGCTCTCTTCGTGCGAGAGCGCCATAATTTTCAAGAACTACTTAAAGCTGCCTTAGACAAGCGAGCTCGAAAACAAACTTTTCCTAACGACACAACAATCACGAAAACTCCGCGACCGCGACGTTAATGCTGATATGCAATAACGTCGGCTTGTGCTTCCATTAAACGATTAAAATTAAAAATAGTTTTCTGACGTTTCTAACGCAACACACACAGGCAACTCTGCTTTCCCATTAATTATCGAGCAGCTCATTTACCTGTTTAATATCCCCTTCCAGCCTTGGGATATAAACCGACATCAGTTGTTCTCATCTCTTCCGCTATATTAATCTAGCCTTAACATTCATCATACCGAAGATACGAGGACATTTCATGTGTCTGAACCAGATGTATATAGGGTAAATAATTTATGAGGCGATCGCTCGGGAGTTGTCAAAGATGCAGGTGAGTAATAGCGGAAGTACTTACGAGAGATGGGATCCGCGCCATCGGGCTTCCTGTCGGAGGCAACGTTCTCATGTGCGGCTTCCTTGCTCGCCCTTGGACGACATCCAGCGACAGGGTTCGTCTCGTTGCTGTTGCTAACTCCGTCCTGGCTCTTGTGCTCGTTCCGTAGGTGATCGTTCCTGTCATTCAGCTTGCAGGTACCGCCGCCAATTCCGACCTTCGACGACGGCTTGCAGCTGATGCTGCCCGAGTTCCCATTAATGTTCGTGTTAACGTTGATGTTGCTATTGCCGTTGGTCGATGCATGATTGTCGGCCTAAACGGCACACAAAGCGATCATAAATTGCGGTCTCTCACCGGTATTTATAGACTATTTCAGCTATTTTATTGATCGTAAGAGCCAAAGGAAATATTAATAAAGAGATAATTAAGTGCTTTATCCAATAAATAAATTTGTAATAAAAATTAAATAGAAACACTAGAAAGACTCCTAAAAAAACAAAAAAATAAAAATAGAATGTACCTTTCGATGACTCTCTAATCTTTATTAAGAGAGCTTTAAAGTTATTTTAAAAATAAACAAAAGTACCTAAAGTTTTAAACAAACGTGATTGTTGATCAGTTTTATTGTAGATGATAATGCATGTCATTGATAAAGACATGCAAATAATGTGGAAGTTGCGTGAAATCGTGACACTGAATCATGGTGAAACGTCCTTCACCACGAAGAGCGATCTATCCTCTTTAACCCTTTACATTGGAACGAGGCGAGGCGAGGCTCGTGGTACCACCTGCCACCCATTCCCAGCTATAATTGAAGTTGTCTCGTTTCGTATTGTAAAGCTATATAGGCGGCAGTGTTTTTTTTTTTCTTCTCGCGCTGCACCGACTGGAAAGGCAAGTCTTTTATTCTGCAAGTACTTTGTTGCGAGACTAACTGGGATCCTTCCCGAAGACGTTCATTTCCTATGCCAACGGAGGTAGAGAGACAATCTGTCTCTTTCAACTCTCTTTCCCCGCATCTTCGACCCCGCGTTCAGCGATCATTTGACCTTTTACCGCCGACACATTTTTAGCAAAAACTTTCCTAATACGACTTTCACGTTTAATGTAATAGCTAAATCGAAGTAACATCGGTAGATAATTTACCAGATAGCAGCTAACGAATGAGAATTAATTAATCGATTTGCCGTCCCGTATTGGATATCTACGTTATATCAACGGAAACAGCTGTCTCGTATTTGATATAAAGTGAATAATACTTTTTACCGAGAAACGCGGTCGCGCGTGTAAATTAATGATAATTCATGGAACAAAAATTTCTAGAACAATATCAAGCGCTCGACTGTGAGTTCTATTCAAATGTCGAATTAATCTCCATAACTCTACGCCACGATTTGTTTTTCCTGCAAGCGTTAACTCGCAAAAGTAAAACGCTAGCGTAACGGATTCAATTTCTAGCTTAGTTGACGTATAACCAGAATCATGTTATAACAGACCCGTAAAGTAAACATGGGCAAGGGCCAGTGAACAAGCTAAACCATCCCTACGACGGTTCTATGACTCGCGGTTCGTCGGTTAAACACGTGTAAAGGTCGAGCGACATTCTCACCGAGCTGGTCATGCAGGTGGATGAGGTAGACGAGCGCACCACGACTATCCTGTTCTGGTTGTGATCGTTGGAGGCGATCGTAGAGACAGCGGCGTGATTGACCAAGGCGTGGGTGTCGTTGGTGCCCGTTGGGCTGGAGTTGACATTCCCAGTGGTGGCGACGCCACCGCCACCCAGGGAGGTCTGTCTGATCACCAGGACGCTGCCTGCTGGCTCCAGCACGACTACCTGCCTCATTTTTGTCGCGCGATTCCCCGCGGTCCGTCCTCGTCGAATGCGAGAGAGCGCACTCCCTTCCCGCCTGGTCGTCGACAACGACGACGGCGACGGCGACGTTGAGCGTGTCGTTCTCCAGCACGACACGTTCTCCGGCTCTTAAAGCTCCCACCCGTCCGCTGTCACCCGCTCTTCCTGCGCGCACAAACACATCCAGGCTGATATTAAGGCTGTCGTTTTAAGGGATGATCCTACCCACCCGCGCCCATCACCGCGCCGCCACCCTGATGCGGATCTACACGCCCGCTCTCGTTCCGTAACCGCCCGAGCCCGAGCGTACCGGCGTGGCTTCTTCCGGAAGGCGAATCGATGGGATTATTTCTGCCAACACCGTCAACAAGCGTCACAACCCGACGGCTCTCTGCCTCTCCTTCAATAAGGCAGCTCTCTCGCGGTACACCACCTCGATGTCAAAGTAGCGGACGTATGCGCGATTTAAACTAAGGTCGGGTTTCAGAAGCTGCTGGCTTTTAGATAATGGCCCGTTGCACATTCAATACTCTAATATGCCTCGCTTTTTCAACGTAGCGAATATCTTTCACACTTATAACGGAAGATCGATCGATCTTGTCTAAAAAAATTTAGCTGAAAGACTCATCATCGCTGGATGACTTTGCTTTAAACGACAGATTAATTAATGTTAAACCGTCGCTTAAGAAAAGAAAAGTAATTCCTTTAATGAAATTTGTTTAACAATTTGTATAATTTACGGCCTGTTGTAGAAATATTTTTACATCGGTAATATTTTCCAGTGTAAATTGGCATAGTTTGTTTTATTTTGCGACGTAAAAAAGTTAAGATTTAAAATATTATGACGTATGTTTATGACACAGAATGGGCGAAACATTTTATGTTGACCTCGATTTTATTGTGATTTAAAGATCTAGTCATTCTAGTTTAAAATCTACTGCAATTTTCTCATTTTCTCGGTCCGCTTGAGCGAAGAAACTTATTTTCCAGATTTCCGAGCTTGTAGCAACAGGAGATCTCGAAGGAATCGCGATTTAAAATTGGATGGCTTTTGTTCAGTATCATTTGTGACCGTGTCGTGATACTCCGTGATACATTGTGAAAGAGAGAGAGAGGGAGGGAGAGAGAGAGAGAGAGAGAGAGAGAGAGAGAGTA